CGGTACAAGAGTTTAGAAAGAGAAACAATAAACATTATATAATGTTTAAACTTTTGGACAAAATTCACACAATATTTATCATTAATAAGAAAGAAGATATTAATAATGATATGAAGAATATTTTTGAGAATCCAGAATATAATTTGAACAAAGATTTAATCAATCAAATAGACAACAATCAACACCTCATTAGATCTCTTATTGATATTATCTGCGAGAATATGAAACAAATACGTGAAATAGAAGTGACAGAAATTAATTTAACTAAAAATATATTAGCCAAAGAAGTGCAACAGTTTATAAGCAATTTCAATGTAATGCCCATTGATATCAATTACAGTATATTTGTTAAGGCAATCAATGGTGAAACAGAAGATTATAAAGAAACGGTTATTGAATGGGATTTTGGAAATGCAATGACATTGAAATCAAACCATTTGATTGTGTTTCGAGATTCAATTGAATTATGGGAAACAGATTTGACAGCATTTGTACAAGAATTGTATGACTCCATACAAACCAATGGATTCTTATTATCTGTATTTCGGTATAAGTTTACGGAACCGGAGATTTCAATCATGTCTTTGAATGAAAATTTGGAAATCAATTGCAATAATAAATCATTTGAAAAGCGAATCAACGATTTTATAAACACTGCAAATTATATGGGATTTCGTTTAATAAGTAGTAAATGCGATACAATTGCTATGAAAGCCCTATTGTTCAGAAAAATAACACCAATTGTCAAAATTCCGGAAAATGACGAAATAATTACAATAAATACTGATTACAAACAATGGTTTGATTTATTAAAGGAAAAAGTTATTGAAAGTTGTGATAATAATTTGAATGATAGGCGTATATGGCTTGTGGCGAATGACTCGCATATTAACGGAATCATAGGTTTAATGAATTGTTTGCGATTAGAACCGGGCGGAGAGAACTTGCGCTATATTTTCCATATGGACACCAATACTGACACTAACTTTGACTTCAATACTAAACCCTATTCTGATATATTGGCCAACGATTTGGTCGCTAATGTTATTAAAGGAGAAAAAGTGGGAACTTATAGACATTTAAAACTTCCCAACGGTTACGACAAATGCTTATCAAATGATTATTACCTAAATTTGGAAACAAATCGTGATTTGGTTGGACTTCAATGGTTTGATTCCCAATGTATTCCTGATGTGAAAGAAAAATATTTAATGAATAATATAAAAACATCCCAAACTAAAATTCATGTTTATTACTCTGGCCTAACCGACAAGGATATCATATATGCAACCGGTAATATAACATAACACTTTTATGATTAAATTAACATTTCTAATTTTTATATAATATCTAAAGTTTACATTTGAATCAATATTTACCAAGGTCACATTCCAATGGGACCTGAAAAGTTATACCCCGATTGTTTATTGGGGTTTGAATATGTGGGCCGTAGAGCTGACACCGGGGAGCGAGTGATGGGTTTAGAGTTCGGGCGCATGTTTTGCAACTCAGTTAACGTAATCGATAAATACATGTCTTCTATTCCGGAGCACTGGTCAATGGCAGAGGCGGTGACTGTGTTGAGCACATATAGTACAGTACACTACGGGCTTATCAAAAGGGCTACTCTTAGAAAAGGTATCATTTCAATTATAAAACATACCATATATCATTTAATAACAATTATGGTATTAAAATTATTATTAGGCGAAAGTGTTTTAATTCATTCGGGAGCCGGAGGTGTGGGTCAGGCGGCTATCAATGTATGCAAACACTATGAATGCGATATCTATGCGACGGTAGAGACAGACAAAAAGAAACAGTTTTTAATTAATACACATAATATTCCGGAGAATCGGATATTCATCTCAACTGATTTACACTTTAATGACGAGATAATGGATGCGACGGACGGACAGGGAGTGGATGTTGTTTTCAATTCACTGATGGGTGAGAAACTGAGCACAAGTTTTGAGTGTCTGGCGATTAGCGGCCGATTCGTACAAATAGGCAGATATGATACGATTGACGGAAAACAGTTGCCAATCAATGACTCCATTCGTGACATACAATTCACCACAATTTTTATGGATTACGTTATAATGAATGACAGCCACTATTTGGACGAGTTTTATGATTGGATGCATAAGAACTCAACGAATAAT